GATTTTTTCAAATTTATAACTTGAGATTTCTTATGCTTAAATCAAGATTTTATATGCATGAATTGAAAAAAAAATTTCCCCTAAGTTTCTTTTATGATTTACTAAAGAGAATATCTTTTTCAAAATTTGACTTAAAGTTTTTTTTTAATATCTTTTATTATTTGATCTCCTAAGATTTTTTTTTGATTATTTAAGAAGAGGTTTTTCAAAAGAAATCATGCCTTTTGGCATTCACATGATCTTATCTTTCATGATATGATTTTTATACAATTCATTGTATTCATGAAATATTTATCTCATCACCCAATTAATTTTTCTTGATATTCTTCATGTGATGATATGAAATTATGCATGAAATACTCATGATATTATGTTGATGCATATAAATGAGAATTTATGATTTGTATATCGCATGATATGATTGAATCATTGGTGTAAAAGAAAAATAAAATTGTTAGCTTGCACATTGCAAAAGAGAACAAAAATATATGCTAGCTTAAATGATAAAACATGAGATTGTTTATAATACAAATTTATTGTTCTCATGATGTGTAAATTGAAATAAAAGGAAATGAATTGTATCATTATATTGTTATTCCCTTCTTTTTGCCAATGACAAAGGGGATAAAGAATTGCTAGTGTGCACATCTCAAAAGAGAAAGATTTGCTAGCTTGCACAATTCAAGAAGATACAAAAATATGCTAGTTTGCTCGTATCAAAAGAGAAGCAAGGATTGCTAACTTGTATATTTCAAGAAGCAAAAGTTGCTTTCTTGAACATCTCAAATGTTGCTAGCTTCATTTTTTAAATGTTGTAAAATTTTGCTAGCTTGTACTTTGCAAAGGAAGCACAAATGGCACTTCTCAAAAGAGAAGAAAGAGCTTGCTATCTTGAACATCGCTATCTTGCATTTGCTTTCGAAATTTTTGCTAGCTTGTATATTATAAACTTGCTATCTTACTACCTTGCATATCTAAAACTTGATAGCTTGTATGATGTAACACTTGCTAAATCTTACAAATTGCATGATGATAAAACTTGATATTATGTTTTTCATGCAATAATTTGAACTTATATCTCAAACACTTGATAGTTGAAACTTCTCCTTTTTGTTGATGACAAAGGGGGAGAAGTATGATCATGTTATACATGATGACGTGTTACAAATATTCATGATGAAATTTACAATGACTTGAATTCAGCTTGAATTCAAGGTTCTATCAATATGGCATATTGATAGGGGGAGTTCATTTAAACTCTAGGAGTTAAGGTTAACTCTGTCATCAATTGGTTGTCATCATAAAAAAG